AATTTTAATACGACCCTTAATCCTTTGTCTATGACTAAACTATTATAAATATAAATATAATTTATTTATTTCAATATATACAATATGGATGTCAAATCGAAGATCATCAAAAGATGATTAATTTGATATATTATATATGTAAAACCGATAAGAAATACAAAAGTTATCAACTTTTAAAATATATTTACAATTCAATAGCTAATTGAAGGAAACAAATCAAAAGTCAGGGATATATTAGTCACTTAGTGAATCACTATGTAAAATTACAAGGAATTAAAGTGTTATATTAGTACAATGATATTAAAATACTTAAGTTAGCTAAATAACAAGGAATTAAAGGGTTATATTAGTACAATGATATTAAAATACTTAAGTTAGCTAAATAATATTTATGGAATGTCCAAACCTAGATTATCAATTATTAATATATCAATATTATTTGTCCAAACCTAATTACGAAGCATGATTCTTTGTCAAGTAGGATTTCGAAGCACCAGAAGCAGCCACGTAGGCTCAGCGCATTCGAGAATTATATATAAGAAGAATTTTTTTAAATTATATTTCTTGTAAGTCACTTGGAAAGAAAGTAAGACAAATACAGAGGAATTCATTTAATTATTAAGTTCATTGTATGTTTATTTAAATATATTAAATTAAATATGCACTCTTACTACCGGCAAAATGAAACAAAGTAGGTATAATTCCTAGTTGTATATTCGTTATTACATTTGTAAAGAAAACTATTTTTCAAGGATGGGTTGGTCAAAATATTAGTCACCCGGAGTAGTAAGTCTAGTAGGCTACTCCTCCATTACTAATTGTTTTGGAATGAAATTTCACTAAGGTGCATCTAAACTCATTCTCTTATGGTGCGCTACATCTGGTGGAACTGCACCCTCTTCCCCCGGCTATAATATGGTATCAAAGCGGGCTTGTCCTAGGACCTGCAGTGACTCTCTCTACTTGGTCGGACTTGGGCTTATCTCTCTACCTGGTCGGGCTTGGGCTTATCTCTTTATCCGACCTGCTATGTTGGCTTGTCCTTGTGAAGGACTCACAAGTGATGGGACGTATTGAAATATCACTTGTGAGTTGTCTCACATTGATTCTATAGGAAAAATGAGAGTCTAGTATAAAAGCCTAGTGGCTTACTCCTCTCATCACTAATTGGTTTTGGAATGAAACCTCACTAAGGTGCATCTAGGCTCATCCTCTTATGGTGCGCTTCATCTGGTGGGACCGCACCTCTTCTCCCGTTCTAATAACCTCTTTTTTTTTGTCTTCTTAATTTCTAATTGCATCTCATATGAAATTAGATTATAGTAAACCAAATTGAGTGCCTAAGATACGCTTAACTTTAATTTATACAACTATGAATTGCTCTATATACTTGAAGCTATTGGTGTAGTTCAACTAAATATCAATATATCAATAAATAAATATATAGTTTTAAGGATTAATTAAGACTTTGGGATTTGACTTTGTAGAGTTAGGTATTGATGTCACATGCAAATATATGAAAACAAGGGGAAAGGAAAGCTTTATAGCCCTCTTAAATAACATGAGCTCTGTCTTTTGAGCCCACCACCATTTTCGTTTTTCACACGTAGCTTTGGCCTTTAATGCATCAATAACAAAATTAAGGGTCTAAAAAAATTTGGTTGTGAATAGGAAATAAAGATGTCATCACCAGCCCTTATATCTACTCTAGTGTAGATTTTACTCTACTTTATAGTAGAGTTAAATATCAATATCCAGCCTTTATCAGATAAATTGGTATGTATATGTATATTTACTCTACTCTACATTTTACTCTACATTTTTTTTTTTTTTTTTTCGGAACGATAGAAATTTTATACAAAGGCACAAATGTGCAAATACAACCACCAGCTGAATAAATATGAGAAGACCGGACGAAGCCCGCCTAGAAACGACCCTAACAGGGGAATAACCATACAACACAAAAACACAACACTACAACGACCCGAACAGGGTGCCCGAGTGTTTGGTCCCAAAAGGATAATAAGTTCACACTCGGGCTGATTGAGGCCAACGACCCAAACCTAAAACACATTAATTAACAAAACACTGATAAAAACGACAAAAAAAAGAACAAAAACCAAAAGAAATACTGACAGCAAAGCTTCCCTCAGCAGATACATTCGAAAAAGACGGCAGACAGGTCCGATTCCTAGGAGAGCTCCGAAGCTCCGATACCACGCCCGCCACTGCGAAGGGCCTAGCAAGATATGACCCAAGCCTAAAAAACAATCCAAGAACCCGACCCGCACTCCAGCCGCAAAAAGCCACGAAACCCCCAACCAACTAACATCACTAGCCGATCCGACACCTCCCGAAGCAGCCTAACACGGTATTAGTTAACACGGTGACACTCTTCAAAAAGTGACATGATTTGGTTACATTTTTTTTTAAAAAAAAAATATTGTTATAATTTTATCTTTGTAACGCTTTTTAAAAAATGTCATAAACACATCAATTTTAATTACACTAATTAAAATAGTCACAAGATTTGTGTTGTTAGAACTCATGTTTGTTGCCGTGGATGGAACTGGTATCAGTTTCTCACGTCTATTAGCCATTTGGCCCATTGGCTAAATTTATTGGACTTGATTCTCATCAAATTTGTCTCTACTATTTTCGTGTAATATTGTTTTCAACGCATGTATCACCTTTAGGCTTTAGCCTTATGGTTCTTTATGAAACTCCCATTTGGGGTAATTTATACATCTTTTAGATAACTCAATTTCAACATTTCAATACATAGATACAGTCAATATAGTTGGACCAAATGAATTATGATCATCACTCACTAGCTATAGCAATTTTCTATGCATATGGCATTCCTTATTTTGGAAGCTGTTTGAAAATTGCATTTCTTACCATAAGGATTTGTCTTAATAAATCGCGGTAGAAAGTGGTGTCGTGAAGCAATTACTTTATTCTCTTCTTGGTGGCTCTTGTTAAAATATTTGTTTCACATCGTACGACAAATTTAAGTGTTTGATTTTTTTACATATATGTCGTTTGCACAAAAATTTTATGGAGCCATCGGATGGTTATCTTATGGAGCCATCCACCACTTAATGTGTTAAAACCTGTCTAAATTATATTTATTGTAGGACACGTGTCAATACGCTATTGGTGAATAAGTGTGGATGGCTCCATAAGTTGAGCCATCCGATGGCTCCATATCAAAATTGGTTGTTTGCATTATTGAGTTGGATTAAGTACAATTATTAGTTTTTTTCTTTATCGTGAGATGAGGAATATGCATCAAAGACTATAAAAGGACGATTTATCCACACATAAAAGATTCTGGACTTTTTGGAAAATATATAAGGATGATTTGTAAAGATTTACCGAAAGATCTCTTAGATTTGGAAGATCGACTAAGTCATGTTCCTGCACGATTTTGAAAACGCGGTTATAATGATCTTCAAATCACATACACAGATTATACATTATGTAAACTTACTTTAAAGAAAGGATGCTGAAAATTCATACCAATTATCTAAGGTATCCTTACCAAGTTTAAATATTTATTTTATCTATGTACATTAGATCATGAAATTTAAAAATAAAAGTGTAGTTATATTGTTCTCTCACGAGCATATTGTGTTCGTCTATTATCTACGAGTTCATAATATTGTTATTTATTTTTTTATTTTTTACTTTGTGAAGTAAGGATTTTAGTCTTGCATTCTTGCATCTCTGAAAGACTGAAGTTCATAAGTCTTTGTACTTTTGTGTATCATTGTTTTGTATGTTTCTGTTGCTATTTTATGTGCTTTTTTAAGTTATTTAGTTGTGTTCTTTATAGTTCATTCAAAGTTTTTTCCCATCAATTTAGTCGTTTTGCTTGTTTACGTATTTTCATGTCGTTTTTATAATTTGTGCAGTTTCTATTATAATTTGTACAGTGAGAACATCTTACAAATATCATCTTTGAAACCTGAAGAGAAGGATTAGTGGATTTGCAATTTTATATAAATGGTCTCTGATTAGGTCTGCGTACAACTGACCCCTCAGACCCCAACCTGTTGGCAATATACTGGGTATGTTAATGTTGGTCTCTAATCAACTCTTCATTCCAGTCTCTTCCATCACTATCGATAAGTTCTTTCATCCAGATTTACTTCCGTGCGTGGTGCTCCCATCTTACCACGATTGTTTGGGTTATTTGCCCGTTTGTATATGAACCTCGTATTTATATTATTTAATTAAGTTTTTCTATCGTTGGAAAAAAAAAAAAAAAAAATTGTACGAGCAGCAGTGGGTACATTATCTCAAGTCTCAACACCACTAATTTTTTTTTTTTTTTTTATTATTATTATTTTTTTTCTAAACTCAACGGAGAAAGGGTGCATGGCCCATTGCATAATAACTTCATAAAGTTACTTCATAAAGTTTAATTTCTTCATTTTTGCAGATATACGAACCACAGCTTTAGTCCACACGAGGGCTAAAACTCTTAGGTCATTTATATGAACTCCAAGACTCGGGAAAAAGCTATGACTAGATAGGGTCAAGGGCCGCTCGGCCGTTGAACCGGCATGAACCCGACCCGGTCAAACCCGTTGATCACGGGTCCAAACCCGAAAATTTCCAAGAAATCGTGTCAGGGTCATCCATTTCATAACCCGGCCCGGTAGGTCTGAACCGGGCCGGAACGATGATCCATTTTTTTATTTTATTTTATATTTTTTTCTATTGTGTTTTAAAAAATGATACAACCGACCCGGACTCGAACCCGCCGCGGATCCAGACCCCACTCGGTCAACCGGGTCATTGACCCGATACGAGTATAAGTCCGTGCTGGGTCCAGGCCATTGTTTTCGAGCCCGGCGACCTGCCGTGACCCAGCCCAGGTTTTGGCCATGGCTAGCTATGACCCCTATTGGAACTTCTTTTATGATATTTATTGTAAATTATCTTATGGTTACGGATACTGTTTTACTGCCTAGATAATTGCCAGGTGTATGAACTTTCTTTTGCCAGGTGGTTCTTACAAGATATATCAAAGATTTTTCTAAAGGGAAACAATGTGTCAATTGAATTATCAAATTTTTAAGTATCGAAACTTTGGTCGAAATTTCAAAAAGTAACACAAAAACACTTATTTATTATCAAGTCTTAACGAGACTTAAATAAATCGCCATCGACTCAGCTTGTTAACTAAACGAATTTTAAATAAATTAGAACTTGACTCGTTTTATCAATAAGACGAGTCGAACCAAACTCGGACTCGTTTAACAGTTCTACATGCAACAAATCACTCAGTCAAATTTTACTAATATTTTTCTTATTCCATTGTTAGCAATATTTCTTTTGACATTTCTTGATCTAATGAAAGCTACAACAATTTTAAGTAAAGGAACAAAAAACTCAAAAGACAAAACCAATAAATTGAAGGTAATTAAAATAGGGGAAATGTTAATAAGGACCCGTTACGAAACTATTCCGTCTGGATCTGTAATTGTTAGATCATCATGTAACCGTCAGAGATACTTGATCTAACGGTTACGATCCCCGACGGAATGGTTTCGTAATGAGACTGTAACATCTTAAAATATATCTATAAAACAAAATACTCCAAATGGCACTATAGTCATTTGACTCATTTCAGTAGATGATAAAACCTAAAGCTTGATCATGAATGTGAAAACATGGAAAATAACAATCTCCTCTCCCTATATAAATACACTTGAAACCCAACATTTTATAATTCAGAGGAAAAAATTCATAATTCAGAGGAAAAACTGACAGTTTTTGACAGTACTCTGTTTCCTCCCCTGTTTTTATTTTCTCTGTTTTGCATCCATCTGAAAAAAAAAAAAAAAAAAAAAAATGGCCACAGTTGAAAAAAACAACCTCACCTTCACATCCCTAAACGCCTCTCACAAAGGCCTATCACTATCCCAGCTAATCCTGTCCAGCAATTCAAACACGCTCGACTCGATCTTCTCCTACTGCCAGCAGCCCCCAAGCCACCGGGCAATCAACCACGTCCCGGGACCCCTCGGCTCCTCCGTCTATCTCAGGCAGCGAGATTTAATCCAAACACTCTCAAACCAAAACAAACTGATCCCAAAATCTCTACTCTCCAGCACGAGCTGTAGACCAGCCCAGCAGCCGGGCCTTTTCGGGCCGTCCCATTTCGGCCCCAGCAAGCGGAAGCTCTACCGTGGGGTCCGCCAGCGCCACTGGGGCAAGTGGGTAGCCGAGATCAGACTACCCCAGAATCGGATGAGGGTCTGGCTCGGGACCTACAACTCGGCTGAGGCTGCAGCCTATGCGTACGACCGGGCAGCGTACAAGCTCCGGGGGGAGTACGCGCGGCTCAACTTTCCGAACCTGCGTGAGCCGGCCCGGGTGGGGCTCGGGGACGAGGCCCGGGTCGAGGCACTGAGGAGCACGGTGGATGCCAAGATACAGGCCATTTGCCAGCGGGTGAGGAGAGAGAGACGGGCCCGGCGGGCCGCGAGGCGGGCCGAGGCCAAGAGTGGAAATGTGGCAGAAAAGACGGATTTGCCCCCGTCGGATGTGGGCAATGGGGAGAGTGGTGGCAGTGGGTTGGAGGACGGGTTTTGGGCGGGCGGCTCACCGGAATCGTGGTGCTCGGCGGTGGTGGGGGCGCCGGTAGGGGAGGAGGAGATGGAGGGGTGCTCGCTTGCTCGGCTGCCGTCGTACGACCCGGAGTTGATATGGGAGGTTCTTGCTAATTAGGACAGAGTTTGGGGAGGGTTGGACTTGGTTCTAGTTGAAGGGTGACTTTGGCGTTGGTGAATGATGTGTGAGAGTTGCATTATATGATGATTTGATGTACTAATAGTTCTGAATATGTTCTTGAAAAAAACTTGTGCTTGTACGCAAAGGTCAACAAGTAAATTGGGACGGAAGGTCATGCGTATGTTCTTGAGGGGTTTTAGTCTTCTTCTTCTTCTTCTTATAATAATAATAATTACTATTATTTGTTGTTAATTGTTATATTCTTCTATTATTTCCTATAATATATATATATATTTGAAAGCGCTGCAATGTTGGTGTTGGCAGGCTGGCAGCTTGACTGATGATATAGCGAGCCACGGCGGTACTGTGTGCATGCATAGCAAATGCGGGAGGATTGCATGTCCTTTATTTTCTTTTTTCGACTCGTTACGGAATCATTTAATTGGGATTTGTAACTGTTAAATCATTATGTAATCGTTAGAAATAGTTAAATCTAACGGTTACAAACCCAGACAGAATAATTCTGTAACGAAACCGTAGCATCTTTCTCCTTTTTTTTTTTTTTTTTTTTTTTTTT